CAGGAAGGAGAGAGGAGGAGAAAGCGAAAGGGCGGGCCTTCCCTCCCTCCTTCTAGTCCAGGGTCACACTCGCTGTCCCCTCAGCCTGGCATGCTCTTCCCCCAGATAATACCTGGGCCTTCCGCTCCCGATCCGGGTGGCCCCCATCCCACCCTGGCCCTGCCCCCTACGCTCCCAGCACCCTCCAAGCCCACCCGTGCAGGTTTCATGACGGCCATACGCCCACTTTATGAGTAGAGACGCTGAGGCACGGTGGGCGGGAGGGGTGGGTGAAGCAGGGATGAAGGGACAGAGCCACAGGGTGACGGGCCGCTGAATCTGCCTGCGTAACCACTGGGTTCAGCAGCGCCCGCCCCGATTCTGTGATTCTCTCTGCCGCCGTTTGTGCTAAAGACCAGCGTGAGCCCCCAGCTCCGCTGTCTGAGCGCGGCCAGGTCACTTGCTGTCTCTGGGCCTCAGTTTTCCCATCTGCAAAACGGGAGCCCACTGGCACCAGCACCACCCCCTGATGCGGTGTTGTGCGCCTTCGAGTGGAGAACACTCGGTTCGCGGAGCTCTAGGGCAGGGTTTCTTGGCCTTGGCAGGACTGATGTTTGGGGCTGGGTCAGCGTTCGTTGCAGTATCCCTGGCCTCCGCCCGCTAGATGTTCATATAACCCATGCCCCAAATTGCGACAACCAAAAATGTCTCCAGACATTGCCTGCTACCCCCTGGGCGGGGGACATAACTGCCCCCTATTGGGAAACACCGCTGTAGATTTGCGGTTTTCCGCCCCGTCTACGCGTTCGAATCACCCAGGGAAGTTGGAAAACTCCCTAAAGCCAGCCTCACCCAATGACTTCAGACTCTCTAGGGCTGGGGTCAAGGGTCGCCACTGTCAAGGCTCCCCAGGTGATCCACCAAGGGTCCAGCCAAGGCTGAGACCAGTGACGGGTGACAGGTGGCACAGCCAAAGGGGACAATGGAGGAAGGCCCGGCTACTGTGTGGGTCACCTCCAGGGAGTGGAGCGAAGGGCGAGAGGTGGCCGCAGGGCTACCGGGAGCCACACGAACTGTTACTCTCCCCTTTCGGCTCAGGCTGTCGCAACAGAGTATCATAGACTGTGTGCCTTATAAACAACAGACATGTAAACAAATAACAGATTCGCAACTCACAGTTCTGGAGGCTGGAAGTCCAAGGTCACGGCGCTGGCAGATTCCCTTCCCGCTGAGGGCTTTCTTCCCGGCTGGCAGACGGCTGCCTTCTCGCCGCCTCCTCACCTGGCCATGCCTCAGTGTGTGTGAAGAGTGAGCAAGAGATCTCTGGTCTCTCTTCCTGTTCTTATAAGGACACCAGTTCTGGGTGGTTTCGGTGGTCGAGCGTCAGACTTCTGCTCAGGTCACGATCTCGAGGTTCGTGAGTTCAAGCCCCACACCAGGCTTGATCCTTCGGATCCTCTGTCCGTCCACTCTCTGCCTCCCCAGCTTGCGTCTTTCAAAAGAAAAAAAAAAAAGGACACCAGTTCACCAGGTCTATCAGGGCTCCACCCTTAATGTAACTTTAATTATCTCCTTAAAGTCTCCCTCTCCACATACAGTCACGTTGGGGGATTAGGGCTTCGACACAGGAATGTTGCAGGGACATGGTTCACTCCGCACCGAGGCGAATGGAAGAATATTCAGGACACAGTCAGGCTGTGAGCTTCTCAGTGTCATATGGGCACACAGACCCTTTGTGAACGTGGGCTCTCCATTCACCTGCAGACAAAGGGCAGGAGGGCTGAGTGGGGCCTGTGGGGGCTGTAGTGGCTCATGAGGAATGAGAGATAAAGAGAGGACAGCTGTTAGAGAGCCACCCAAAATGTGACTCATGCAGGACACTGTCCCCAGAGCCAAAGACCCCTCCTGACACAGGTTTCCAGCAGCTGCTGAAGGGACAAGGGAGCCCCAGCGGACGGGGCCCATGCCAGGCTCTCCGGCTCTCTAAGTCCACACTCGGTGCACAGAAGAGGAATACTTTCTGGTTCCACACTTGGGCAGGAAGAGGCTTTCCCATCCCTGAAAAACTCCCCCCGAAGCTGGGAAGATGTAAAAGGCACGCAGATGTGACGGGTTCAGGGCAGGAACGGTCGCACACAGCTCTGCTCAAGGAGGGGGACGCCCAGGCCCCCACCCCATAAGAAACCTGAAGCTGTAGCCCCGCCCCGCCCCGCCCCCTAGGGCATACAACATCATAGCATCTGGCATCCTCCCCATTTTTGTTTTTTTTTGTTTTTTGTTTTTTTTTAATTTTTTTCAACGTTTTTTATTTATTTTTGGGACAGAGAGAGACAGAGCATGAACGGGGGAGGGGCAGAGAGAGAGGGAGACACAGAATCGGAAACAGGCTCCAGGCTCCGAGCCATCAGCCCAGAGCCTGACGCGGGGCTCGAACTCACGGACCGCGAGATCGTGACCTGGCTGAAGTCGGACGCTTAACCGACTGCGCCACCCAGGCGCCCCCCCATTTTTGTTTTAATATTCATTCATCTTTGAGAGAGAGAAAGAGAGAGAGAGAGAGAGAGTGCAAAGCAGGGGAGCAAGGGGCAGAGAGAATGGAAGACGGAGGATCCAAAGGGGGCTCTGCAGCCCAATGCAGGGCTCGAACTCACGAACTGTGAGATCATGACCTGAGCCAAAGTCAGACACTTAACTGACTGAGGCACCCAGGTGCCCCTACCATCATCACCATGTTTAAGTGGTGGCCTTAAGGCACATTCACACTGCTGTGCGGTCATCAGGGCCGTCCGTCTCCAGAACCCTATCCAACTTGTAAATCTGAAACTGTCCCCCTTAAACACTAGCTCTCCATTCTGCCTCCCGCCAGCCGCTGACCCCCAACATCCTACTTTTCTGTCTCCATAATTTTTATACACTAAGTCCTCATATAACTGGAATCACAAGTATTTGTCCTTTGGTGTCTGGCTTATTTCACTGAGCACAATGTCCTCGGGGCTCATCCGTGTTATAGCACACATCAGAATTCCCTTCCTTTTTAAGGCTGAATCGCATTCCCTTGTATGAATACCCCACATTCTGTTTACCCATTCATCTGTTGAAGGGCACTTGGGTCGCTTCCACACTTCGGTTATTGTGAATGACGCAGCTTGTAAGGAGGGCGCCCGGCTGGCTCAGTCAGACCAGCACGTGACTCTTGATCTCGGGGTCGTGAGTTCAAGCCCCATGCTGGGTGTCGAGATTTCTAAAAATAAATAAATAAACTTTTTTTTTTTGTAAGTAATGCTGCCGTGAACATGGGTGTGCAAATATCTCTTCAACACCTGGCTCTCATTTGTTGAGGGGTACATACCGAGAAGTGTGATCGCTAAATCAGTTATAGGTATGTCTTTAAATCCAGTGAGGCCTGGGGTGCCTGGGTGGCTCAGTCGGTTAAGCGTCCGACTTCGGCTCAGGTCATGATCTCACGGTACGTGGGTTCGAGCCCTGCGTCGGGTTCTGTGCTGACAGCTCAGAGCCTGGAGCCTGTTTCGGATTCTGTGTCTCCCTCTTTCTCTGACCCTCCCCGGTTCATGCTCTCTCTCTCTCTCTCTCTCTCTCTCTCTGTCTCAAAAATAAATAAACGTTAAAAAAAATTAAAAAAAAAAAAGACTGAGGGCAGAGCAATGAACAAAACAGACAGAGGCCCCTGTCCTCCAAGAGCCAGTGGCCCTGCGGGGAAAGGCAGGCAATGAATCAGTTAATTAAAATCCAAGGTGATAATTTTCACAAGGAAAATAAAGCAGGGGAGGTGAATGGGCAGCGCTGGCATGGGGGTGCAGATTCAATGGGGTGGCCAGGGAAGGCCTCACGCAGGAAGAAAGTGACTTTTGAGCAAAGACCTGAAGGAAGTAAGAGAGTTGGATTAGTTATCTACTGCTGCGTAAGTAACTACCCCAAAATCTAGAGGCCTGAAACAACATGGATGATCTTACGGGTCTGTGGGTCAAGAATTTGGGTGCTGCTCAGCCGGTCGTCTAGCCCAGGGTCTCTCCAGAGGGTGCAGTCAAGGCTCCCCTGGGGGTGTGGCCATCTCAAGGCTCCCCCTGGGGTGTGGTCACCTCAAGGCTCCCCCTGGGGTGTGGTCACCTCAAGGCTCCCCCTGGGGTGTGGTCATCTCAAGCCCCCCCCCCCCCCGGGGTGTGGTCAGCTTGCAAGCACACACAGGGGGCTGTTGGCAAAATTCCGTTCCTCCCTGGCTATTAGCTGAAGGCTACTCTCTGTTCTTTGCCACCTAGACCCCTCCACAGGACGGCTCACATCTTGGTCACTGGCTTCATCAGGGCAGGCAAATGAGAAGAAAAGAGAGAATGCTAGTAATGGGGACAGCCCAGCAGGACAGAAGTCACAGTCTTATAACCTGATCTTGAAAATGACATACCACTCACTTTGGCCACATCCTATAGGTTAGAAGTGAGTGGTCCAGCCCTCCCTCAAGAGGAGGAAAGTACACAAGGGCATGAAGACCAAGAGGCAGGAACCATGGGAGACCATCTTTGATGCCGCCTACCACAGGAACTAGGCAGATATCTGGGGGAAGGGCAGAGGGAATAGCCTGTGCGTGCAAAGGTCCTGAGGCAAGAACAAGCTTGGAGCGTGGTCAGGACAAGAGGGACAGTGCGGGTGGAGCATGGACTGTGGAAAGGGAGGAGTAGAACAGGAAGGCTGACATTTTCTGTGAGAACAATAAGAAGCCACTGGACTATTTCAAGGCAGGTCACAATGTCATGCGATTTCATTTTGAGAAGTTTCATATGATACTTACAGAAGTAATAGGTGCCTGGGATTTGCTTTAAAATAGTCCATAAATGGGGCACCTGAGTGGCTCAGTCGGTTGAGTGTCTGACTTCGGCTCAGGTCCTACTCTCACGTTCGTGAGTTCGAGCCCCGCGTCGGGCTCTGTGCCGACAGCTCAGAGCCTGGAGCCTGCTTCGGATTCTGTATCTCTCTCCCTCTCCCCCTCCCCTGCTCATGCTCTGCCTCTCTCTGTCTCTCAAAAATAAATAAATGTTAAAAAAAATTTTTTAAATAGTCCATAAATAAAATAAAAAAAAAATAGTCCATAACAAGAAAGAAAAGTTGGGGGGTGAAAGGTGAAACAAGATGGGGAACACACGGATTATGACTCAAATCATAGGAGGTTTTCACACGCTTCTATTTTTGCATGTGTGTGAAGTTTTTCTATAATAAAAAGGGAAGTAATAACACATCATGTATCTGGTTTCGGGGGTGGGGGGGGACAACAGTGGGGGATCCTGGGCAGAAGCGGGCCAGACGTGACTGCCAGAGTCCAGGCTAAAAGCCGTCAACATGGCCAAAACTGGATGCTGACAACACCAAGTGTTGACAGGACAGTGGAGGGACTAGAACTCTCTCATCCGCCGCTGCTGGGTGTAAAACAGTTTGCCACAGGCCTTCGGTCTCATGAAGTCGTGCGCTTCACACCCAGCCCAGCGACCCCACTCCTGGACGTTTCCCCGAGAGGAAGAACACATAACGTCTGCGCAAAGACAGATCTGTTGGCAAACGTTGGCGGCGGCTTCGCTGTGATCTCCAAACCGCTGGAAACACCCCAAACGTCCACCAGCAGGGGGGCACAGATGAACAAGCCGGGGTCCGTTCACCCCGCGGCCTGCCGGGCAGCAGTGAAGGAGGCAAATCTGACCATGTTTGTGGCCGAGAAGCGGCGGGCCCGGCGAAAGAGGCCACCCTGCGCGGTCCCAGGGGCACGAAGTTCTCCAAAAGGCTAGACTAAGCCGCAGCGATAGAAATCAGAGCAGTGATTGGGGCGGCGCAGAGAGAGGGCTGGGACACTCCTGGGACCTTCTGGATGCAAAGGGCGCAGACTCCGTGGCCTGCGGCCGCCGGGCCCACGCACCTGTCGAGGCGCGCAGGCGTGGGAACCTAGCGGCTGTAAACGGCCTCTCGCCAGGGAAGGTGATGCCAACCCCGGTGTGAAGGCGGCGGTGTGAGCAGTGGGATTCCGATTTCAGCTCTGAGGCAGAGTCCACAGGCCGTGCAGGGGCCCCTTGCAAGCCCCTGGTCGCCCCCAGGTAGGGGCGGGGCGGGGCGGGGCGGGGCGGGGGAAGCCCAGACCTCCGTCCGTCCCGCCGGGACGCGCTGGCGGGTCTAAAAGCTTCCCTGCAGCGGCCCAGGCGGTCGATAGCAGACACCCCGGCTCCCTCCGTCCCGCCTGCCGGGCAGCCCGGCCCCTTCCCGCCAGCCCAGCCCCCGGGGGGGGGGGTGAGGGGGGCGGCCGGGTGGAGCCCCGCGCCTGGCGCTGGTCCCCCTCCCGCACGCCCCTCCTTCTCTCCTTCTCCACCCCCTGACACTTGCCCTTGTCCCAGAGGCTGGAGGCGGGGGTGGGGGGCACCAGCCATCCCCGCAGGGGGCTGCTGGGGGACGCCCCTGCCTGTGCTCACTTTTCCCCCCATTGAAGAGGCCCCGGGAGCCCAGATGGCTCCCTGAAAGGTAGGAGCTGTCTTCCCTTGCCCTGGGCCGGCGGAATAAATCTTTGACTTAGAGCCACGACTTCGGGGCCATTCAGGCTTGGGTTCATTCATTCGTTCATTCACCAAATATTTATTGCGCGTCTAATCCCCCCTGCCCTAGTGGAGTGGACATCCTACACCCGCGCGGGACAACGGATACGACGAAGCCACAGATAAGGGCACATGGGTAACTTAAAATTCCCCAGCATCCACGTTTTCAAAAGTGGAAAATAAATAGATGCAATTAATTGTAATCCTGTATTTTATTTAACCCCATCTAGGCAAACTATCACCCATCCAACATGCAAATCAATAGAAAAAAAATGATTAATGAGCTATTTTACATCCTTTTGTCCGTACTAAGTCTTAGAAATCCGGTACGTTTTCCCTTGGAGCAGTCCTCAATTCGGGCTGGTCGTTTTGAAGCACTCAGTAGGTACATGTAGCCGGTGGTGACCACGTGGGCTGGCACAGGCCAGGAGGATGGCAGGGGGCAGGAGCATGATCTGACTGTTAAGAAAGATCCCTTTGGCTGCTGTGTTAAAATAAATGGGGAAGAGGCCGTGACTTACCTTGAAATGCGCTAAGAAATGAGGCGCCCGGATAAAACAAGCTATTCATTAGCGCCAAAAAGAAACAAGCTATCAGGTGAAAAGACAGGGCAGAACCTTAAATGTATATTGCTAAGTGAAAGAAGCCAATCTGAAAAGCCTAGGTACCATGTGATTCCCACTCTATGACATTCTGGAAAAGGCAAAACTCTGGAGACAGTAAAAACACCAGTGCTCGGCGGGGGGGGGGCTGGGAGGGATGAACAGGTGGGGCACAGAGGATTTTTAGGGCAGTGAAAATACCGTGTGTGTGTGTGTGTGTGTGTGTGTGTGTGTGTGTGTGACCATAATGGTGGACAGAGGTCATTCTCCATTTGTCCAAAGCCACAGAACGCACAGCACCCAGAGTGAACTGTAAGTTATGGACTTGAGTGGTTAGGAAGGGTCAGTGTGGGTTCATCAATTGCAACAAATGTACCCTCAGGTGGGGATGGTGATGACGGGGGAGGCTGTGCATCGGCAGGGACAGAGGGCACATGGGAAATATCTGCGCCTTTGCCGCAAGTTCGCTGTGAACCTAAAACCGCTCTAAAGGCAATTAAATTCTTAATTCACAAAAATGCTAATGAGGTGGGTGGATAGATGGAGAGAAGGACAGATAATGACAAATCAAGCCAGATGTCAACTGTAGACGCCAAGTGATGGGTGTTCAGCAGACAATTCTTTCCATTTGTCTGTACATTTGACATTTACGCTAAATCGTGGGAGAATAGAGTGTATTCATTTCCTGTGGCTGCTGTCACAAACGGCCACAGACTAGGGGGCTCACCACAACAGGATTCTTATTCTCTCAAAGTTCTGGAGGCCAGAAGTCTGAAATCAAGGTGTCTTCGGGGCCACGTCCATCGAAGGCCGTAGGGGAGGATCCTTCCAGGCCTCTTCCGGCTCCTGGGGGTCCCGTGTGCCCTGACTTGTGGCCCCATCATCCCGATCTCTGCCTCTCTCTTCACACGGCCTTTCCCCTCTTGTTTTTTAATTTTTTTTTTAACGTTTATTTATTTTTGACAGAGAGACAGAGCGTGAGCAGGGGAGGGGCAGAGAGAGAGGGAGACACAGAAACTGAAACAGGCACCAGGATCCGAGCTGTCAGCACAGAGCCCGATGCGGGGCTCGAACTCACGAACCACAAGATCATGATGTGAACTGGCATCCGAGGCTTAACCAACTGAGCCATCCAGGTGCCCTGGCCTTTTCTTCTTCTGTCTCTTATAAGAACACTTGCCACTGGATTTAGGCTCACCTGTATAATCCAGGATACTCTTGTATTGTTCCTATCTTAATTCTGCAAAGACCCTATTTTCAAATAAGACCACATTCACCGGGCGCCTGGGTGGCTCAGTCGGTTAAGCAGTTAAGCGTCAGAATCCTGACTTCAGCTCAGGTCACGATGTCACACACAATTCATGAATTCGAGCCCCCCATCGGGCTCTGCACTGACAGCACGGAGCCTGCTTGGGATTGTCTCTCCTTCTCTCTCTGCCCGTGCCTTCTCTCTCTCTCTCTCTCTCTCTCTCTCTCTCTCTCTCAAACGTAAATAAATAAACTTAAAAAAAAAAAAAAGACCACATTCACATGATCCAAGGGTTAGGATTTGGACATATCTTTTTGGAAGCACAATTCAACCCACAACCCATGAGGCCACGTCTCACGAATCAGCCGTGGGACCCCAGCACGTGGCATAGCCTCTCTGAGCCCGTGTCAGCGGCACACAGTAGGTGCTCAATAAACGGGAGCTATTGTTTCCATCATCCCCAGGGCCTCTCCTGGCAGGTGGTCCACTTGTAAGCAGCCTCTGGGAGCCAGACTTCATGTTGCCAGAGCATCAGGAACAGGGTCTGGTGCCATCCGGAGGAGACGGCCGTGTCCTAGTGGATGGCCCAGGCTCTGGCATCGGAAGGACAAGGGTTTAAATCCCGGTCTCACCACCCGAAAAGCACGGTGACCTTGGGCAGGTGGCTTTGAACCTCTGAGCTTCAATTTCCTCATTTGTAATGGGAGAGGGATGCCGTTCATTTACTTAGCAAATATTTACTGAGTATCTACTATATGCCAGGAGCTGAGCGTGAAGGGTGGGGATAGCGTCGAACAAGAGGGACGAGGTCTGTCCTCAGCGGGGAGCTGAGTGATAAAAACAAGAAATGTGCTATTTAGAGAATTTAAATGAGCTGATGGGTTGCTGTAAACAGGTCAGTAGAGAGGGCTTCCCGGAGGAGGTGATATTAACTGGAGTCTAAATGACAAGAAGGAGCTGGCTATGTGAGAACCATCGGGAAGGGCGTTCCAGGCAGAGGGAAAGGCAAAGGCCAACGATGGCAGTCCTGGTTCCAAGGCTGGGATGATGGACTCAGTCATTTTTTCATCCACTTATCCGTCCAACAAATGGGTGTTCAGCACCGCTCACTGTCCGCAGACAGAGCCGTGAGCGAGGAACAAAGAGTTCCTGGCCCACGGCGAAATACTCAGTAAATGTCAGCAACTACTGATGGTCAGTATATTTGGGGATCTCTTGGAATCCCTCCTTCTCAGTGCGCTTCCCTGAGGGAAACACCTCTGCCCACGACCTTCCCTCCGGAGTAAAAATGACTTCCCTGTTTTTATTCTGGTTGTAAGAGGACGCGTACCAGGGACAAAGAGAGAGAAATACCTGGGTTCTCACCTCGTCGAAGAAAAGTATGGTTAGCTCAAAGGGCATCTTTCTGGATGTTTCTCTGGGCGCGCAGGCGTGCGTGTGCACACACACACAGGTATGCACACACACGTGCACACAGGCCTACGAATGCCTACATATGTGCACATGCTGGCAGTCACACATACACAATGCACACACAGAAGCATGCAAACACGAGTGCATTCACACCCACAGATGCTTGTGGACCCGTGCACTCGTGCATGCAAACGCACGTGCAAACACGTGCATGTACATGGGACCAGGGTTAGGGTGAAGTGAGGCCGATCTTTGAAACCAGGGCCAATCCTGGCTGTATTTGAAAATGTAGGTGCTTTGGGGCGCCTGGGGGGCTCAGTCGGTTAAGTGTCCGACTTGGGCTGAGGTCATGATCTCATGGCTTCTGGGTTCGAGCCCCGCGTCGGGCTCTGTGCTGACGGCTCAGAGCCTGGAGCCTGTTTCAGATTCTGTGTCTCCCTCTCTCTCTGCCCTTCCCCCGTTCATGCTCTGTCTCTCTCTGTCTCAGAAATAAATAAACGTTAAAAAAAATTTTTTTTAATTTTTTTAAAATTTATCTTGATGGTGGAGTTTTCTGACACCCCCTTAGACTTTGCTCCTCACTTGCCACTCCTTCATCTCAACCCTGGTGTGCACACACACGTGTACACGCTCACATACCTGCGTGCACACGCCTGTATGCACACGCTTATGCACATGCATGCACACATGCGCACGAGTTCACACACACACACACCACAACCCGCTAACGGGTGTGAAGTCGAACCAGTTGGTCAGAACCATCAGTCACCCTGCCCCCCCCCCACCCCCCGCACAGTCCTTTCTCCCAGTCGCTACATAGGAGTCCAGTGACATCAACCAGAGCCTTGAAGAGAAAAATACTGTATTTGTGAGAACGACCTGCCTCTCAAAATGGAACAGAAGAGAATAGAAAATATCAGAACTCAGTGCACAGAAATAGGATAAATATACTTTGGGAAACTTTTCTTCAGTTCTGAACCGGGGTAAGACTGCCTTGCGTTGTGAAAAATTAACGCTCTGATGCATGATCAAAATGCTTGAAATATGTGGCTACATATGACGTTTGAAACCTTTGTTCTTTTGTTCCTCTCTCTTCTTTTTTTGAAGTCCCATGTTTATTACGGCATACCCCAAAACTGAACCCGGCTGGGTCCCTGAATATCTGTTTGGAAGAAATTCAGCAGTCACTTGGTATTTGAGAAGCCTGTGTTTAGGTTTTATATGAAGTAAATCTAAATTCGTACAATGTTCAAACAATTGATATTTTCACACATATCTGTTATAGCACCTACATTTAATTTAAAGATGTCTTATGTAAACCTTGAATATCATATATCGCATTTATCTGTATTCAACATTTACGTGTTAAATAGATAGCCATTATAGGGGCTCCTGGGTGGCTCAGTTGGTTAGGCGCCGACTTCGGCTCAGGTCACAATCTCGCAGTTCGTGGGTTCCAGCCCCGCGTCGGGCTCTGTGCTGACAGCTCGGAGCCTGGAGTCTGCTTCCTATTCTGTGTCTCCCTCTCTCTCTGCCCCTCCCCTGCTCACACTCTGTGCGTGTCTCTCTCTCTCAACAATAAACACTAACAAATAATTTTAAAAAATATACGGCCGTTATTTCGTTTGAGGCGTGAGGTGTGAGGTCACACCATATTGACGAATGTACGTTTGCTCATTTTCATTTTCTGCTATTTATTTAATCAACCTCGTAGAGACGGACACTTTCCTTGTCTTCCAGCTTTCCTTAAGGGTTTTCATCGTGGTGTAATAACAGCGAGGTGCTGAGCATTTCATGGAGTCCTCACGATGTGCCCAATGTACAGGTGAGAACATGGGGGCTCTGTGGCATTAATTTATGTGCCTGAGAGCACACAGCTCACAGATGGCAGCACCAGGATTGGAACCCCAGCCGTCTGATTATGGGGCTCTTAACCAGCCTGCATGACACTTGGATCTTTGCATGTTCCCAGAAATGGACGTGCCGGGTCAGAGAGTTCACACAATTAAATGTTTAACACAAACATCCAGACTGCCCTCCATGAAGGTTGTATCATTCTACACTCCCATAAGGGTGCGCAGGTGTGCATCCCCCAAACTTCACACATGCTGATAAGCTTGACAAATAAAAATGAGTCTTTAGCTGATAAATTGTCAGATTGTGCATCCTTGCAAGGGGTTTGTTGACTTTGTATTATTCTTCTGTGAGCCTTTTATTTATGACCTGTGCCCATTTCACCTGTGGTATATTTGTCTTTTTCCATTTGATTCATAAGTGCTCTTTGTATATTAAGGTTCTTAGCGCTTTGTCTGCCATATACGTGGCCAAGAATCTACTCTAGGACCACTTGACCTGGGACCACTTTGAAGGCCAGACAGGTCTGCTTTGATTACCCATCTGGCCTCAATGAATGTTTTTGTTCTGACGTGTCTTTGCTGCAGGCTGTGTTTTATTGGTGCCTCCAGAAGCAAAAGGGGAGACCCTGAGGTCGTATAAACCTCAGTCTTATCCAAACTGACATTTGAACAACACCTCAGCTTTCCATGGCAAGAAAGTTCAAGCCTAGGAGTCAGGAGCCCCAACTTTCTGCCCCAACTGCAATGACTGACTGGGCTTCTTCCTCCAGGTTCAGTCAGAGGTGTTGCGAATTCTGTCCCACCCAGGGCGGTCCAGCCACGCCCACCTCCTCCAAGCCACGCTCACCTCCTAGAGTAGAGCGGAAGTGGCAGACAGAAGAGGTATGAGGGGCATCTCAAGCATGGTCTGGGAGACTGTATGAGGGGCAGGCAGGCAGGAGGGGTCCCCGGCCTCCATGGCTGGCAACCCCTTGGTGCCCCCAGCACCCTCCACATAAAGGAAAGAAGGCCCCGCCTCCTTGGGCCTGCCTACTTTTCTCACCCACTTTTTTTTTTTTTTTTTGACAATTTGGGTGGGAGTGGGACCAAGGTGTCGGTGTATTTTATTTTATTTTATTTTTAATGTTTACTTATTTTGGGGAGAGAGAGTGAGAGAGACAGAGTGCAAGCAGGGAGGTACAGAAAAAGAGAGGGAAACAGAATCCTAAGCAGGCTCCAGGCTCTGAGCGGTCAGCCCAGAGCCCAATGTGGGGCTTGAACTCACGAACCTTGAGATCATGACCTGAGCCGAAGTCGAAAGCTCAACCGACTGAGCCACCCAGGCACCCCTATTTTGTTTCTAAAGTTTATTTATTTATTTTGAGTGAGAGAGGGAAAACGAGTGGGGGAGGACCCGAGAGAGGGAGAGAGACAGAATCCCAAGCAGACTCCGCACCCTCAGTGCGGAGCCTGATGAGGGGCTTAAACCCACAAACCCATGAGATCGTGACCTGAGCTAGATTAAGAGTCGGATGCCCAACTGACCGAGCCACCCAGGCGCCCCTCACCCACTTCTTCATATACTCTTATATCTGGCTTCTCTGTGCCCAGTTTTATTATCTGCAAAGTGGGGATAATGTGAATGATCACGAGTCAGCCTCTGTAAAGGGGTTGGAATGGTACCTGGCACATAGTAGGTGCTCAGTAAACAATATCACTGTTTTAGTGTCACTGTTTGCTGTACTATTATTTCTTTTTATTTTAGAGAGAGAGAGAGTACAAGCAGGGGAGGGGGGCCGAGGGAGAGAGAGAATCTTAAGCAGCCTCCACACTCAGCATGTAGCCCGATGTGGGGCTTGAACTCACGACCCTGAGATCATGACCTGAGCTGAAGTCAAGAGTCGGACCCTCAAACCACTGGTGTGCCTGTTTATTGTATAATTATTGAGGATTACGTGTGGGATGGAAACACAGGGCCCTGGGGTACCTGGAACCCGTCTTTACCTGGCACCATCTGGGTGGACCCTGGGAGGGGGGGAACTGAGGCCCCACCAGCGACCCTCCTTGTCCTCACCCAAATCCCTACCCCAGCCCCTCCAAGGCCCAGAGGGGCCCCCTGGGAAAGTGGCACCGTGGGGACTGCTGCCCAGCACAATTACCGTTTTCATCCTCATTAAACCACATTTTCATTCTAATTAGAGTTTCACTGCCTCCCAGAGAGAAGGGCCGATTACTTTTCAGCATCATTACCAGCCTCTCCCTCCCTCCCCACCCTGCCCAGGTGTCTGTTCCTTCCACACCGGCCAGCCTCGATATCTCCCTCTCTCTCTCCTCCCTCCCCCCCTCCTTCTCTCCCTCCTCCCTCTCCTCCCT